GTGAAATGTTTGTTTCCTCTCTGACTAGCCTTTAAAAAACAATGTTTTCCAATCATTAAATAAACAAGAATAATTGTTAAATAGTTTCAAGTCTTGGCATTTTGTTTATTAAAGTTAACTCACTGTTGACTAACTTATAATTAATTCAGAAGCATGGCATTTGTCTTGCAAAAATGCCAAGAAAGGTAGTCTAATTTGCTAGGTACATGTATAAAGAAATGATTGGTTAAAAATTAGTTCAGCTAACTGAAAGGGACCTCAAGGTATTCACAACTACAATTGTTTCCAATAGTAAAACATTTACTAACTAAGATAAACATGTGAAATCTATTAAAGTTCACACAGACAATCAGACAATCAGTGAAATCTGCAGATGTAGACAAATACAGGTGGTGTGATGACACCTGTAACTTTATTGCACCATATTATTTGTATGTGCAGTACCATGACTAGGCTCTGTAGAGATAATCATGACAATTTGTTAATGGCTTTGTATATTAAAAGTTCATAATTTTGAAAGTATTTCTCTCTCTAATAATTAAAACCATACAGAATGTAATTGGAAAGTCAAGGAGGAACCTGAAAAGGATTTTTTATGCATTGTGTGATCTAAACAGAATGCAAAGCTTAGGGTGGAGTTTGCATGATGACAGATCAGAATCATTTGATTCATTTATCTTCTGTAAACACTTAATTTTTACATTCAATACCTTTGTTCTTGTTCTACCTTAGGGAGAGACATTGTGGTGGCATAGCACCTGGCCTTAAAGTTTTTCACAAAAATGGTGTAACAGTCTGTAAGTTATTATCAGGAATTAAAAACTAAATCATTTGTGAAACAAACCTTGTGGGAAAAGAATTGCCTTTGAGTATTCAACATCCTGATGAAGCCATTGTAGGCTAATTATATGCCTCAATTTAGTTCATCAATGAAAAAGAAGGTTATGAACAATAAACATTTTCATTTTGGGACAATAATAAAGTTCAGCTCCCCAGAAACAATCTTAATTTGCTCTTTCTTTTGTTTGTGTTTGGGGTTGTGATGTTTGCTGGCTATGATATAAGCATTCAAATTCTCCAAGCACCAACTGGGTGACTAAAGTAAAAGCTTAATTGATAAGAGAGTCATATTTATATGCTTGGAATCAATCAAAATTTTATGCGACTGTATCATAGACATTTTTGGATGAATTATGAAGAGATGCCACAGAATACCAATGAACCCTTTAACTCTCAGAAGTTATTAAAATCTAACTTCTCCCTGTAATATCCATACATCATCCAGCAAACAGGCAACAAGAATACTCAAACATATCAAGTAGAAGTTGTTGTCTTGATCTTAAACACCAAATTCTTGGAACTAATTTAAAAGGAAATAATTATGTAGTAGCTGGTAGGGAGAATTGACTATCAGATCTGGGAGTTGAAGGGTTTAAAGCAAATTTTAAAATGGTTATAGATGATAACTTTTAATGTTGATGATGATTGCATATTGGAACTTTTAGTT